ACTGAGGTACAGGTCTAATGCTGGATTGCAGTAAATCCTGCCAACTGTTCACCTTCCTGCCAGAACCAACAGTGTTGTCCCTAGACTGGAAAGGAGGACAATGCAGAAACTTCTATCTTGATTTTTTTTGTCATTCTGGGATTTGAACTCGGGATTTCATGCTGCAAGGCAGGTGCTTTACAGCATGAGCCACGCCCCCAGCCCCTTGTGCTCTGATTGTTTTGGAGACAGGGTCGTCTCTCTTCTTGCCTAGGCCAGCCTGGACCACGATCCTTCTCTGTTTAATGCTTCCTGCCATGGCTGGGATGACCAATGCCCCATCATGCCCAGCTTTTTTTCTGTTAAGATGGGATCTCACAAACTTTTTTTGCCCTGCTTGGCCTGGAACCCTCATCATCCCCATCTCAGACTTCCAAGTGGCTAGGGTTGCAGGTGTGAACCACTGGCGCCTGGCCCTATCATGATAGGTTTTTAGGTAAATGATATGCTGGAAGCCTTCCCAGGGCTCAGGCGTCAGTCTTTTCTTGTCCAGGATGCAGTTTCGTGGGGTGAGTGGGCCTTTTGCATCTGGGGGAAGGTGGCCGCTTTGTCCAGCCAGGACTTGCAAACCTTTTCCAAACTCTCCCTCAACCACATGAGGAAGGAGGTGATTGTATCAGTTGCCCCAACAACTCACAGCTATGAAGGTGGCTTTGAAGTGCACACACATTTCTACTTGTGCTGCCCACAGGTTTGCATTTCGTAGAAAAGCCTTGGAACATTTGTTGAATTCATTCATTATTTACACATGCTTCTTTCACAAAAAGGCAAATATTTCAAAGTAGCTACCCTTTTCTGATAAATGAGACTCAATACTTTGTTATTTAGCAAACATATTTAACAAACTATGCAGTGTTTAATGAGCTCTCAAGTTTCTTGTGACATGAACACTAAACAAGAAAGTAATTGTCTTTCCAAAGAAATTCATGCTATGGAAAGAGGGCATTTCAAATAGATATTTGAAGTGTTTTCATTGTCATGTGATTTTTTTTTGGCTGAAATTTGTATGTCATTTCTGCAAATTATCACATTTATACCCTTAAAAGCATTGAGGGCACAAACATTTTCATAGTTTTACTAAGGTTTATTGATTCACGATAAAGTTCTTATATTTAAGTGTAAGCTTCACTGACATACATGCACACCCGTGAAACCATCACCACAACCAAGATAGTGAAGTTTCTGTGAGTCCCTTGGGGATCCTTCTCTTCCGGTCTCCCAGCTTCAGGTGACTCTTGATCTGCTGTCTGCCACAAGTCACCTTGCACTGTCTAGAATTATTTTATACAAATGGAATCACACAGTCTGTCTTCTTTTCTCTAGCTTCTTCACTCACCGTAATTATTTTGGGATTCATCGATGGTGTTGCATAGATCAGTGCTTCATTCCTTTTAATGCCTGAATAGTATTCTCTTGTATGGGCAGAACATACAAGAGAAAATATTCACCTGTCTGTGGAAGTGTATTTCCATGTTTGGCTGTTACAGTACAGTTGACCTGTGGACACGTTTGTGTATACAGACTTTCATTTCCCTTTACCCACGTAAAGCCCCATGTGTGCAACGGTCATGTGGTAAGAATATGTTTAACGGTTTCAGAAGCTGTTTTCCTAAGTGATGTACTCTTTACATCACCAAATCATGCCATGTGCTCTGGAGCCTCACGCTAACGATCTGTGCCTCATCTTTGATGAAGCGTCTTCTCAGATATCTTGCCCAGGTTTTATTTCTGGTGGCTTTCTTACCATTGGATTTTGGTAATTCTTTGTATATTGCACTTGTTTTCAGGTTACTTGCAAACATTTGCTCCTAGTCTTTGGCCTGTCTTTTTGTTCTCTTAGCAGGTTCTTTCTAAGAGCAAAGGTTTTAATTCTGAAGAAGTCTGATTCAAGTTTTAATTATTATCATGCTGACAACATTGTAGTGAAGCAATATTTGCTTAGCCTGATGCCACAAAGGCTTTCTCCTCTGTTATCTTTCGGAAGTTTTATAGTTTTTAGGCTTTGCACTTTGGTCTCTGTCCATTTGGAGCCAACATTTATATATGGTACAAGGTATTTGCTTACATTTAGGTGTCCAGTTGTACCTGAACCATGTGTTGCATACACTGTCTTTTTGGTACTGTCACCCTTGGGTCTCCTTGCTGAAAACCCACTGGATGTCTATTTGTGCCCTTGATGATGGAGCCACACTGTTTAGTTACTGGAACTTCATCATAAGGTTAGTTTCAAGTAGTGGAGTTCCTCTGCCTTCATTTGTTGTTTTCAGAGTTGTTTTGGCTATTCTAGGGCCTTTCCATCTCCATATGAGTCACTTCCTGTAGCAGAAAAGCCTAGTGGGATTTTGGTTGACTTGTTCTCTGAGGGTTCCCAGTGTGGGTGGTTTGAAGGCTCTGAACGTACTTGTGTATTAGTCTACTTTTGTCTGTGCTACTTCTCTTGCTTGTTTCACATATTTCAGAACTGTCCTATTGGGGCAGGATTCTTATGTCCTCTTGGTGACCTGACCCCTGTATCATTGGAAAAAGTTTTTTTTTTTTTATCCCAGTACCAGTCTGCTCTGAATTCTGCCTGTTTGGTATTGATAAAGCCACTTTGGACTGGTGTTAAGTGCTGTGTCTTTTCATCCTTTCACTTTTACTTTGTGTGTCTTTATACGTAGAGTAAGGGTCTTGTAAGCAGCATATAGTTGGGTCATGGCTTTTATCCAGTTTCATGATCTTTGCCTTCTTATCTTGATGTTTAAATCATTTGCATTTGAATGTTAGGTGTAGATCCACCAGCTTTCTATTTATTTCCAGTTGGTTCCATCTTTATTATCCTTTCATCTCTTTCTGCTTTTAAAAGTGAAGTTTTTAATGACTCTGTTTTATGAAGCATATTTCGCTGATACATCTTCATGTGCAGCTTTCATACAGCTTTGTTGATTTTGAACTCATTCTGATAATATGCAAAAATGCAGCTAATTAGTTTGTAGGGTCAATTGATCAACATTAGAATGAATAGAAATTTATCTGAATTACAACCAAATGCCTTAGTAGAGATTAGGAAGCAAAAATATGCACACCTTGGAGAACAACCAGTGCTACCTTACTCCCTGTGGAGCCATAAACTTTTAGGTCTCGAGTCACACACTGAAACCTAAGCACTGGCGTGAGTCAGACTGAAGCAGACCTGCAGCTCTGTCTCACAAAGTTTCAATGTCAATAACTTTACAGTGTTTTCACTTAAAATATATATTTTTAGTGTAAGTAAAATAGAGATTCAGAACATATTTTTTGTATGGTTTTAGTTTCTGTTGTGTTTATATTTTATAATAAAATATTAGCACAGTACATAGATATATGTACATATAATTCCTAAGGAATATATATTTATTGAGAGTGTGTCTCCAAAATTCTTTTACTGATAAAGGGCTTCACAAAGAAGACTTTAAGGTCACCAGTAACTGAACAAAATATTTTTAAAGTGTGACCCATTTATCTCATTCATATTACTGTGTACTCTATGGTTATAGCTTTATAGAAGGTGAGCTGTCCTAAGCTAGGTGTTATGGAAAAGTGCAAAATGTGAAGAACGCTACTCAGTCCTGCAATTATGTCACACTTTCTCTGTGAATTTGCTACAGGAGATAACTCTTTTCCTGTAAGTCTCCCCCCTCCTACTTAATCTCACTCATTTACTAATTCACACATGTAACATTGACCCACTTCACTGACTCCACTGCTGACTTAATTTCTCATGTATTAGTTTATAATTATTTGTAAAACTATGTTTGCACATATTATCAGCCCACGTTAATTGTGCATTTATTACTTGGGGTTTGACCAAGTGTGGTCAAGACACAATAATAAGAAAAAATTCAAAAGAAATTTGAAAAATAAAAATTTTGAATTCTCACATGCTCATTACCCATCTCAGCTGAATCAGAGAAGCTCTGTCAGTCTCACGTTGTCATCAGTGTGTTTAAATCCTGTGTCTGTCCTCAGCAGTCGCGTCCATCACCACAGACCTGTGGACACGAGAGTCTCCCGTATGCATGTGTTACAGGACACCTGTAACCTAGTCACCTGTTTACAAGACCATCATGTATGATGCATATTCAAATTTGTGTTGTACATTTGAATTCTTTTCTGTGACACCAGTAAATCCCAAAATCGGTCATCTTAACATGTAGTTACATCAATAGGAAGATGTGAACAAGTCCTCCCCAGGAGGCTGGGCCTGGCATTCAGGGGATACAGTTGTGACAGTTTTTAGAGATTTAGAAGCACCTTGTATGCGGATCCTTTAAAATTATTAACACTAGAATAAAGTGAACGTTTGATTTTGAGCATTTTTATTACTAAAACTTTAGAACATGGTAAAGCAAACAAATAGTCATTTCACTACCCAGAGGTAATGACTGCCAAAAAGACATTTGTCAGAGAATTAAGTAAAATTTTTGGGGGCCAGGTACCCCTGACTCAAACCTGTAATCCTAACTACTGCGGTGTGGAGGCTAGGAGGATCACTGTTCAAGGCCAGCCCAAGTAAAAAGTTTGCAAGAGCCCTCAGGTGGCTGACTTGGTGGTGAGCTCCTGTCATCATAGCTATGCAGGGAAGCACAAACAGAAGAGTCACAGTGCAGACTGGCCTGGGTGAAAAGCAAGCCCCTATCTGAAAAATCCCTAAAGCAAAAAGGGTTGGAGGAGTGGCTCAAGTGGTGGGGCATTGCCCAGCAAGCTTGAGGCCCTGAGTTTAAACCCCAGTTCTACCAGAAATGAAAATAAAGCTTTGAAAATGGAGGTGTAATTTTAAAAGAACTACAGGTTGCATGTCTTCCGGGGATCACATGTGGAAATGTGGATGGTAACAAAGCACCCGAGTTCCAGTTCCAGTTTGCGTCCTTACGCCAGGGTCTGACCTTGAATGCCAGGTATGCTTGGCGTTGCTGCAGTGATCCAGTGTCTTTTCCTTGCAGATGTATCACAGGATCCGTCACTCGGAGTGCATCTACCGGGTCACCATGGAGAAGCTGTCCTATCACAGCATCTGTACCGCCGAGGAGTGGCAGGGCCTCATGCGCTTCACCCTCCCCGGCCCTCTGTGTAAAGAGATCGAGCTGTGAGTACCCTGCTCTGTCGCCGCCCCCAGCCGCAGGTGCTGAAGCTCAGTGAACTAAAGCAGAGCAGGTTATGGAAGCAGAACACATCTCTGTACCCAAAGTGTGTGTGTCGTTTCACAGGTTGCCATTTCTCCTGGCTACCTTCCAAACAAAACCTGAACTCGATTTCGATGTGATGTAACCTAGCTGCTAGTATTTTTTATTTTACTCCTTTGTTCCTTACACCATATAGCAGTTAATATTCAGAATGGGATTTAATATCACATTTATAAGGTCCTCATCTCCATGTCAGTTTAAAATTCAAAATTAAATTCAAGAACTAATGAGTTCATCATTCATGCTTTGTTTTGTGATCCTATGCTAATATATTAGGACCTGTGATAACTGGCACACCTACTCTAAGCACAAGTCAACAGTGTTTCTCTACATAGGAACTCTTCAGGAATGACCCTGACCTGCTATCTGCCTTATAAGCAGAAATAAAATTCTTTACCATAGTATGCACTCCAGTTGAAGTTCAGTAACCGAATCAGTAGATGAAAAATAGGCGTGAATTTAATAGCTTTGGATATTTATACTCATGAAATTCCTGTTTTATCTTAAATAAGACAGAATGGTTTCACCTCTAAAAACTACTTCTGATAAGGTTCTGCCTTATCTGTGGCATATGTCTAGTGTTCCTAAGATGATTTTCTGCATATTTTATTACTCTGATAACAAGTGCAGCATCAGTCTTGTAAAACAGACAGTATAATAGAAAATTAATTGATGCCTGGCTCGGTCCCTGCGGGAACATGGGGAGCCTCCTGAAAACCATCAGCACCAGGCAGATGGGGCTGAGAAGCAGAGTGGGAGGGAGGCTGAGCTCCCAGCATCGTCTTGTTTGATAGATAAAAAGTTGAATGATTTTCTTGACTGGTTATGCTTATCCCAGTTGTATTTAGAACTATACTCCTCTCTTATTTTCAGATTCCACTTTGACATCGGTCCTTTTGAAAACATGTGGCCCAGAATTTTTGTCTATATGATTCATCGTTCCTGTGGGACCTCCTGGTATGAATGACCTAAAAGCTTCCTTCTTTCATGTTGAGTGACATGACCACTTCTTCCTCCTACTCACACACCTCACCACTTCCTTTGCTGATCGGTATCTTAAAACATGGTATCTCTAATTTGTCTCCTAAGTATTCAATCTGCAGCCTTTTCAGCGTCTCTAGAGACTACTGTGTTCTCTGGCAACTTGGTTGTATCCTGGTCAACATCTCAGCACTATCATAAAACCAGAGACAGGCTGAGTTCACTACTGAGGAGGCAGAGTTCACTACTGAGCAGAATTGCACACCTTAAAAATTGTTCTTAATGCTGAGTCTGGAGGCACACATTTGTAATCCCAGATCCTCGGGAGGTGGAAGTAGGAGGATCACTGTTTGAGGCCAATGTGAGCAAAAAGTGTGAGGTCCTACCTGAAAGATAATCTAAAAGCACAAGGGCTGGGGGTGGGGCTCAGGGGTTAGAGTGCCTTCCTGGCATGCTCAAGGCCCTGAGTTCAAGCCCTAGTACCCTAGTACCACCAAAAAAAAAAAAAACTGCTTAGAATGCTACACATAAATGTAGATCACCTTTCAACTTACATTATGTGTCTATTACCTTAGCTATAAAAGAAAGGTCTGATGTTTTGCCAGCACTTGGGAGGCTGAGGCAGGAGGGTCATGAGTTTAAAGCCAGCCTTGTCCAAAAAAAAAAAAAAAAATACCACGACAAAAAAGTGTGATCCTCTGTGGGTAATTACAGCACCCTTTATGGGGCTCCTTCAGTCTCCTAGTTTCTCTAGAACTAAATTGGTACTGCTCTTGAATTCTGTGTCATCTCTTCTATCGGTGACTCTTTATAAGCCACCATCTTGAAAGGGTGCACACAGGGCAGCAAACTCCTTTATTTCATAGATGTCCTTTGAGAGTAGATCCACCTGGAACTCTTAGAAGGCCACACCTTTTTCCTAAAGGACACCTGAAAGTTTTCAGTGGAGAAAAGCACTGGCTATGTATTTTCGTAGTGAACTCTCAGTCCCCTGGCTATTCAAGGAGCCCTGTTTTGTACTGATGTGCTTTTGTTTTAAACTGCCTTCCATATATTTTGAGATTGGTGGAATCTCAACTATGAATAAACACACTATAATAAAATGAAATATGGTGACCATAATGAAAACTCACACCGTCCCCTTCCATATGCTGTGTTGGTATTTGGAGATGGTCATTGCCACTTAATGGTTTGGGTGTATCATGGTACTTCAAATTCACTCCGACAGGATAATCACTTACCTAGAAAAGTATCAGGACACATATGTGTACATATGCATATATTTGCAGTTTGTGAATCAAACACGCTTTTTAAAGATCTTAGCTCAGAATACCCTTGGGTAGATGAGGCTATCTTTAGTCTTTTGAGCACTGCAGGTCACAGGAAATGCCTACAAACACAAGGAGGTCATGGGGATTAGTAATAGGTGGCTTTGCGCTGATTCTGGCATTTTATCCCTGGAGAGACAATCAACACATCAGAGGAGAAGCTGCGTCTTTGGGGCTGGAGAAAGAGAAGGGACAGGGAAGTAATGAGTGAGTAAGTGGAGATCCTGGGGTTCCCTGTGTGGGGCACCCACAGCAGCTAGCATGTGAGCAAGCAGAAGCTTGTGCGCCTCAGTAGGAGGCTCTCCTGGAACACAGGGACGCTCTGCTGACTTCGCTCATAACAGCTTCTTCCCCACACAGCTTTGAGCTTGAGAAGTTGTGCCGTTTTATCATGTCTGTGAAGAAGAACTATCGTCGGGTTCCGTACCACAACTGGAAGCACGCCGTCACTGTGGCTCACTGCATGTTCGCCATACTTCAGAACAACAGTGAGCTGTTCACAGACCTCGAGGTGGGTGTGACCCTCCCCTTCCCATAGGACCTCAGCGAATTTTACATGCCAGGCCGGAGCAGGTTTATGACATGGGTTTATGAGACGTTATCCCAGGACAAATGTCGGCTCAGTAAATCAGTAGAAAGCAAGTGTTTTTAGTTTCAGCCCCAACAAACATTTAGCATATCCATTTTTAAAATGCTAATTTTAAAGTAACCTCAAGGAAACACTCATTTTTGTAGTCTTTCTTAAAGCTTAAATGTCCTGAAAGAACGTAAATGGACTGTGCTTTTCTTGTTGCCCAATTGCCCTGGGTGATGGAGATGCAGCCTGCTGGCTTGAGAACCCAGACAGAGCATTAGGTACTGTTCATACATAAATGCTCTGTGATCTATTCTAGCACAAAGAAACGGGCTTTGAGATATTCAGATGATTCACTGACTTTATGACCCCAAGTTGGCGACATACCCAAAGCTTTTGAAATCTCAGAACTGTAAGAATTGGAGAGTTCCTCATCCTTTCAGCCACCAGCCCAGTCCCCTTACTGGAAAGCCTGCACCCCAATGGTACTGCTCCCACGCGTAGATTAAAGGACGCAAGACTGACTCTGCCTCCACTGGTCCTGGTGATGCTGGCTAACTAGTTTCACTCTTTCTTTCTCCCCTCTATCAACTGGTGTCACATTTCAAGTGCTGTCCGACTGTGCAGAGGACAGAGCTGTCACCTCTCAGATAGATAAATTTTACTTCTCTGTAGGTCATACCCAGAATACAGCTCAGTATTCATGAGACACAGCATGCCCTTTTCCACAAGCCAGATAAAACTCACAGGCAGAAACCTTGGAAGGTACATTACAGAAGGGAAAAAGCATCATTTTTAAAGAGAGTAAAGTGTACTCCTACCTTTTGTTTTTCTAAAAATAATCTTTAGTTAAAGCAGAGTTTATTCATTGTCTCTCCCCAAAAGATCCAGATGAAATATGTTCTTTTTCATACAATTTTGTCTAAACAATTTTCTATTTGATTGCACCCCATTTGGGGGACTTTCAGCATTTTTTCCCATTTAACTCCTTTTGAGGAAGAAATTTCCTTGTCTCTTTTTGTCATGTGATAGCCGATGAGTTCAAGAACTTTACAAATTATAAGAAAAGAATTTATACATTGTACTTTCCAGCATTATAGCCTTGAAATTTATATTAAAATAAAAACCTAAAAAATTAAGGATAAGTGAGAAAGGTTTTATTGACTTTAAGGTCTTTAATCGTTACATTTTCCTCAAACTTGGGTCTTACAAATATTCCCAAAATATCACATGTAAATACTTAAAATATATTTTGTGCAGGATATATAATCTCTTATAAAGCTGTTAGAAATTATCATTTGGTCTTATTAAAGGAAAATGTTTTAACAAAAGAGATTCTTTATAAAATTATTTTCAGATGCCTGATTCTGGCATGCTTTTAACAAACTATTGAAAGTTAGGTTAATTAAAAAGTAGGGAAGAAGTTGGAGAGGTGAAGCTAACAGCTTGTATCTATTGTGCAGGATTTAAAACCTTGCGATTTCTTACCAGATGTGTCCTGTTGACAGCAGCATAAAATACAGAAACAGTTCAAAACCAGTGTCTTGACTGACACAGGTGCCTGACTGAACTGTGTTAGGAATCCCCAGCACATGTGACTGGGTGACAGCATCCTGTGTCGGGAAGGAGTGCTGTTGAGCTTGAGAGCTCACCTCCATAGGGCAGAGAAGCGAGTCCTGCCTCATCAGGACAAGAGGGAGCGAGGCATGCCGAGAAAATGTCCCGGCACACTTCTGCTGGCTCCCGTGGCAGAGTGACTCTGTCCCATGAACAGGTCCACATTCTCCACTCCAGAGCTGATCCTTCCACGCCATCGTGGTCACCGCCTCCCTCTGTGAGGACACAGAACAGCCGAGCAGTTCTTCTCTCTGCCACCATCGCCGTGCTTCCCCTCCCATCTGCACTAAGCATAAGCATTCTGTCATCTTAAAATGACTCGCAAGTCTGCCTGTTCCTTGGCTCTTCTTTGCAGCACAGTCCATGTAAGAGTTGCTGTATGGGCTCCTTCCAAATCCTTTCCTCTCATTCATCCTGAAATTACCTCTCATCAGACTTCAGATCCCAACACCCAGGAAATATCCTGATCCACGTCACCAGCAGCCGGCCCTTGTAAGGTGGGAGGGCCAGTGCTCAGGTTTCCTCTGGAATCAGTTGTCTTCACTTGCCCCTGGGACACCAGCACACTTTGCATTTAGGGCCGCACTGGCTCCTCTGCCTTGCCTTGTTCTGAGTTCTTTTGATGACTTGCCATTTCCTCAGACATCATACAGTCAGATTATTTCAGGGCTCAAACTACAGCCTGCGAGTCCCACTGACCTGTGACCTTACAAGCCCCTGTTTCATCTCTCTAGCCAAGGTCCATTCCCAGAACTTTAGACTTCAGCAGCCAAGTGTCAACTTAAACTCTCCACTTGACCGTCATTTGGACATCTCACCTCAACCCAGACCTGGACTCCGCCTGCAGCTTTTCTGTATCAGTTGATAGCCATCCTCGTGGAATCCGAGGCATTTCAAGCCCCCTTGGAGTCATACTTGACCCATCTTCTTTCTTTTCACAGCTAGTCAGTCAAAAAATGCTGCTGGCTCTGCCTGAAAAATATATCTGACTTTAAACACATTTTATAATCTTCCTTTGTTGTTATCCTGATCAGAGCCTCCATTATGTTTTGACTCAATTACTGCAAAAGCCTTCCCGCCAGTCTCCCCTTGACACACTTGCCAGAATGGTCTTTTAAAAGTACAAGCCAGATGCTGACACTGCTCTGTCAGTCAGATGTCATATTCCATCAGGTGGAATATGAGGCCTATGTGACTTTAGCCTGCCCTGCCCTCCCTTGGGACAGGTTCTCCTGCTCCCTGCCCTTCTTGCTCTCCTCAGACCCTCTCTTGCCTTCCTCCCTCCCCTCTCATGTGTCCACTCACATCTGGCCTTCTTCCTAAGTCCTGCCCTGACTACTCCATTTAAGCCTCTGCCTGCCTCCCTCAAACCTGTCTATGGGATTTTCCATTTTACCTGCTCTGATGTACTTGCTGTGTGCATTGTCTATAACAGGAATGGATTGTTAGAACCAGGAGAACACAGGCTGCCCTCCCCTTGTGCAGATTTAACATCTCTGTTGGGTTGGAGCACTTAGTACCTCCTATACTTTTCCCCAGAGCTGAGCAGGACAACAAGAATATTTTGATTTTCAAGTTCATATGCCATAAAAGAAAAGAGGTTAAAAAAGAAGTTAAGTGATCTGAAACTTCAAAGATTCCTGAGGGTGTTTACGCTAACAGCCATATGAACGTAAGCTGCAAGTCTCCTGGTATCCTGTTTCTTTGTTTTGAACATCTCTGCCTTTTATTATCTTTTTAAGCGCAAAGGACTGCTGATTGCCTGTCTGTGTCATGACCTGGACCACAGGGGCTTCAGTAACAGCTACCTGCAGAAGTTTGACCACCCGCTGGCAGCTCTGTACTCCACCTCCACCATGGAGCAGCACCACTTCTCCCAGACAGTGTCCATCCTGCAGGTGAGCCACCCACCCACCACGCTATGTCTCTTGCTTGGCTGGGTTTCCAGGAAACTTTGGGAACGACAGAGGGATATTGTTATGGCTCATTCTGAAAACCACAGCTACCTTTTACTTTTGCAACTTATATTTATAGTCATAAACAAATGATCATGATTTTCTTGGAAAAAGGATCCTGTAAAAGGGTGCTGGGGAGATATATTTTAAAATCACATTTGTTTTGAGGTAGTTCACTATTAACACCCTAAAGCTAAGTTTTATTCCACATAGTTAAATTACATGAATTGTCATATTCCTGAACCAGCATGTGTTGAACAGTAAATCTTAAAAGTTAGGTAAATTCAAGGTTTTCGGCACATTGACATTCTTTTATTTTTACTTCTGTGCTTTGTTTTTATAACTTTGGTGACTGATGCAGATGATGGCAGACCTCACTTTGAAATAAGGGTATATATGCTCCTTCTTCCTTCACCCTTTTTCTGAAAACATAAGGTAGCTATTTTGTCATGACAGTTTGAATTCTGAACAGAAACATTTAAGAAGATGTTCCATGTTTGCTAAAGAATAGGGGACTCTATCTTTGCCTCTTACTGTCAGCCCCTCAAAGTAGGAAGAGTAACTTTTGCATGTCTTCTGATGACGTGTGTCCAAGGGAAGGGTGTTGAGTTTTCTGTGGCCAGCTTCTGCTAGACCTTTAGACTCAGTGTGGGCATCGCCTGCTCTGGCGAGGTCATTTTATGGTGTCTCCACATAGCTGGGGCACAGTGACATCCCTCTTTTACATGGCCCCTGAGCTCCTCGAGCATATATACACCTTAGTCGTTTTCTTTTGTTTCTTCCTGTGGAAGTTTTCTGCTTATGAACTTAGTTTTCTCCCTCCATGAACTGGATATCGTGGAAGACAGTGGTGCCCCTCACTCATCTCGGTACCAGCAGGCCGACTTCTGGGCAGAGATGGAAATGTGAAGACAGAATGTGTGTTTGAGAGAAGTCAGGGTAGACAGAACACTGGGTGAAGCTTGGAAACCAAGCTTGGAAAGTGAGTATACATGTTTCCTGATGCCCAGAGCTCCCATGGCTGAGCAGAGGAAGTCAGATGTCACTGTGTAGCAGTGACATCCAGGAAAGAAGAGATTTTTATCACTTAAAACAGATACTTTCAGTAATTATGATGGAACCATTATTAATGCAAATTTTTTGATGGAACTGGGGTTTGAACTCAGACTTTGCACTTGCAAAGCAGGTGCTTTACCACTTGAGCCATACCTTCAGTCCATTTTGCTCTGGTTATTTTGGAGATGGGGTCTTGTGAACTGTTTGCCCAGGCTGGCCTCAAACCATGATCTTCCCAATTTTGACATCCCAAGCAGCTAGAATTACAGTCTTGAGCTACCTGACCCAGCCTATTATTGCAACATTAAATCAATTTAGTCTCATTGGTAATGAGATATTAATGGTCATTTTGAATAGTCATCATTTTTCTACCTTTTGCCCTCTGCGAATGCACAGTTTAAGGAAACAAACAGCTTGGAATGATCATTCTCATTAAGATAATTTTCTTATTCCATAAATACTGAACTATCTAATGTTTTGAAATACCAGATGTCAGAAAGTTAGCTATATACTCAATTTGGGGCCCCTGTGACTTTTCCATATTTTTCATAGCAATAATACTTCTGGAGATCAGCTAGAGTTGATCTGCACTAGGTAGGATTTTCTGTTTGTTGTAACTATAGCAATGGCACCTTCACTACTGGCCTAACACGTATGGCTGAGAAGCCAGCTTAACTCTGTCCTCTTCTACAGACGTGTGTTCAGTAGTGGTCTTTGGACGTGAAAGTCATCTTGGGGCATTTCTGCTTATTTGTTCATTTGTTCTCCTGACCTCTCCCCTTAACTCTCACCACAGAAGTCTTGCTGGTAGTATTTTTTACCCTGATCATCTCCACCATTTTATCAGGCATTGGGTACTTTCTGTGAACCAGAAACTTAAGTATGTTGTACGTATTAATAAACTTGATTTTTACATTATCAGTGTGAAATATTCTCATTCATTTCCATTTTGCAAGTAAGAGTAATATGCATCAGAGAGATTAAATACCTTGACCACATGTCCCACAAATGAAAAGTAGCAAAAAAAGAATTAACTAGAATTGTTGACTGCAAAGCCTGTGCTCTTTACCATGTGCTTAGCACTTCCTAGCCTGTGTTTTGGTATCAAAGCAAGTACTAACCATCTGTTGAGGGCACTGGCATTGTGCATGCTGATTAGTTGTGTCACTGACCTTACTTTTTTCATCCCAAGCATCCCTGCATGGTTCAGGTGGCTTCCTGGAGTCACGATTTTCAACCAGCTGGGGGAGGCCTGCTGGGGACCAATGTCTGGATTGCTTGGCAGCCAGGCTTCGGAAACTGAGCACAGAGGCCTTTCCAGGAGAGTATCTTCTAGAGGACTGCACAGCATATGATTTGGGGGTGCTATGTATGATTAATAATAATATTAATTATTAATATTAATAATAGTAATTTCTGAAAAAAAGATTGGTCAGTATTTTCCCTCCTTGGCTCTAACCTCCAGTCCATTCTGGCACAGTCTCACCACCTAACATAAGATTACCGATGGTTTTCTGTGCTCGTCTATATGGTATTTTACCATAATGAGGCCTTTTCAAAGCCCTGACACTAATTCCTGCCTTCCCCCTATTCAGTTCGCTTCAGTAATACAGTCTCGGCTGTTCCATGACACATGCTGCTCCTTCTGCATGGGCTACTCCTGTTACCGCCATTTGTCCTCACCCGGAAAGCTCCCCATGCTCCCACAGTGAATAAAAAACTCAGAGCCCTTGAATTGCCTGGCCAAGGTCAGGAGGGACCTGGAAGAGCACATATTGGGAGAGTTCCCTGTAATCTTTCAGCCAAAGACCAATTTCAGCGTTGCCTGTGTTCTTGTCCTCTCACCGATCTCAGTTCCCCAGAGTATTTGCGGAGCCACTCATGTGCCTTATGGCAGGAAGAATTATATGCTGTTCACCCATCTCAGAGTGTCGGGAATATTCGAAGCATAAGAAGTCTGCTAGTTCATGCAAAATGGAATTAACTGGCTTTAATTAATATCAGCTTCAAACTATGTGACCTAGAGTTAATGATAGACTTAGTAATTGCATAAAAATATCATATTACTTTAGAAGTTTTTTTTGTGTGTTAAGTAATATGAAATCAGAACTTTCAAAACTGATTTTAAGTAACTTATCTCTGCTGAGTTTGGCTTACATCTCCCTTGCTTGTTTTCCTGTGTTTTGGTAGGCGCAAAACACTAATTCTCTTGAAGAGAAGGGCCTGTGTATTATTCATTGACTTGTCCCCTTTACTCTTACAAAACATCAAAGAAGGGAGGCAACAGAAGAGTCCTGGTGGCAACTTTATAAAGGCCCTCTACTGGACTTCTTCCTCCTGCTTTCCATTAATGTTGAAAAATAGTAAACGGAAAGGGAACTCAGAGCAGCCAACAGAATATACAGATCCATTTAAATGGGTCTTAACTTGTCTTGGAAGTGGGACGCTTGAGCTCCTGATGAGAACTTGAATTTAGGGATAACATACTCAGTGTAGTACGTCAAACTGCAGTGAGCTCCCAGCTGTGGCTCCCATGGAGGAGTTACAGAATCCAGGCTAGCAAGTCCCTCTTTTAGAAAGAAGTTTTAAAAATTTCCACAGTATCCTCAGGTGTTTTATATATTGTTAACCAGTTCATAGTGGGGAGTGTCGGTGACACAGAAAATGCTGCATAAAAATGTATCAGCTGTGATTTCTTTAGATGAGCTGCTCATGAGTACCGGCCACTCATGCAGCTCCTCTCTGCAGTGCATCTAGGGAAGTGGGAGGCACAGGTCTCAGTGTTGAGGCAGACGTGGCTGCTTTGCTTGAGTTATGACCAAGTCAAGTGCAACTCAATTTCAGAGCACCGACCAGAGTAAAGATTTCCTTCTTATAACTTTATACGACAAAATTGCAGAGTTGAGGTTGCAAGGAACCTGGGAGGTAATTGAGTTCAATCCCCTGGGCATAGGCTGTCCCTTCAGTGATAAACCTACCTGTGCCCAAATGTCCCAGCCACAGCTCCAGCCACTCTCCAGTGGAGCGTGGACGTCCAGGTGGTTCTTCCTGGCGATGAGCGTAAGCTGCTCCTATCTCTGCCTTTTGGGCCTACTGCGTTCACGAGAGAGGCTTCCACTGAGAATGCCTTCCTTAAACTGCAAAATGTGACCAGATTACATAAGCACTCCAGTGTCCCTTTACCCAAAGAAACATCTTGTTCCTGTTTCAGTACATGTTTCATTGTGCGTAGGTATCAAGGGTGTTATAGGATCTCTACAAGCTGAAAGTGCAGTCGAGTGTTTGAAAGGGCTCCACAGAGGGAGACCTTCTCATTATTACAATCAGGAAAACAGGAAGCCAGAACTGAGTCCATTCTCCGTGCTTACTGTGAGTAATTTAAAATATTTGTAAGACCCTTCAAGTAGATAATGTAGAAACATTGCAATGATTGGAGCCAAATGGTATGTGTACAGCTTTATTTCAGAATAAGAAACAGTGTCTTAGTGAAATGTCTTGATATGGTGAAGAAGTATACTTTAATAGCTGAAAGTTTTTCATGCATTTATAATAAATGTAGAGAAGTAAAATAAAAAATCAATTTAGAGTGGTAATATTGACTAAAAATGAAATCATTACAAATGATTGATGAGCAAACACATTGAATATATCTTAATTACTTCCTCCCTTTCAGTTTGAACAACAACTTTAACTAACTAAATAAAATACCTTAAGGTTCTTAGAGGGAGAAATTACTTAAAACATTTTGTAAAGTTTCATATACAGAATGATCCTGAGATCACAGAACAAAATCACGAATGTTTTGTTTGGTGCTCTACATCTCTGTGTGACTGTGTGGTGTAAGAATATGCTGTCACCTGGGAAGAGTTTTGATGTGTCTCTAAGCATGGCTTGGAGATGGTAGCAACCTTTCTTCCAAGCTACAGAAAAGTAGATTTTGTTTATTTATGGTGTAGCCTGAGGTGGACAGGACTGTAGATTCTTTTTGAAGCACATCGAGTTCCAGTGTAATATAAAAATTACTAAAATTTTTGTTTGACTCAAGAGACAAAGTCATTAACTTCAGTATTTTACATTTTCCAGTCTCGTCACTATAAGAAATACACAAAAATGAGGTCTACTTAGGTTGCTGGAGCTTTGTGATGGCAAGTGATGTTCCTGTAACTAAAATAGCTTATTTGGGTGGCAGCTGCATTGCTGTAGCTGAAGGAAAATCCAAATGCAGTCTCTGTTACAGGTGTTTCACGCTATTCTTTTGCTTTTCCACTCTGTCACTGGCGCGCCGGAAGCATTGCTAACTAGACTTTGAAACAGCCTCGGACTCAGTGCTTACTCTTCATCATGTCTCCCGCAGCTGGAAGGGCATAACATTTTCTCCACGCTGAGCTCCAGTGAGTATGAGCAGGTGCTCGAGATCATCCGCAAAGCCATCATCGCCACCGACCTTGCCCTGTACTTCGGAAACAGGAAGCAATTGGAGGAGATGTACCAGACCGGATCGCTTAACCTTCACAATCAGTCTCATAGGTAAAACTACCTTTCCAAAGTTAGAAGCCCAGGAAGTGTTACCTGAAATAAATTGACGTTTAAAAAGTAAAAATGGCATTTGGCATAAATTTGCTTGACAGAAAAATGTGAAAATAATTTGCTTTTCTGTTTTGTGTGCATTTTGTTGATCTTTGGGCATTTCCTTTTTTAGCAAAATTGCATACTGTGAAGACAGTTAAATCTGAATGTGAATTGATCAGGCAGGGCTGGTGACTTAAAGGTCAAGGTCCTTTACTGAGTTGACCACAGCTAAGGATTTAGCTGTCGGCCTTCCAGAACCCTAAGCACGTGAATATGGACTCGCTTTTCCGAATCCAAATCCTACTCACCAGGCTAATGTGTCAGATGTGTCACACTGGAATTCCAGTTTATGGATCCACGTATATTGAACCTCGGGTATCAGAGTATTGGCATCTGATTGGTCAGAGTCACGTACTAGGCCAAATGAAAATCAGAAATCTGTTCTGTCGCGCAAAGTAAATAAATGTCTTGATGGCACTAGGGTAAATTAGTCTGATGCCTTTTCCTGCCAAGGATAGCTCTTGCCAGGGGATTCAGTACAATGACAGGTGTGTTTATTGTGAACCTGTCTGTGGTCCATGAGTCAAACCAACCTTTCCCCTGGATGTTTCATAGGTGGTCACACCATCTTTCACTGATCACTTTCAGAGACGTTTCTGTCTCACCAGTCCTCTTCTGTGGTGCCATCTTCCTTCCTAGGTTTGAGGACACTCATTCCTGCTTGTGTGCCAGTCTGTCTTCTTTGTTTAGATGTGGTGCATATCTCACAGTGGCCACTGAGTACTGATCTTAACATTTCTTTCCAAACAACAGTCTGTTTTCAAGTTCTTAGAATGAGTTTACCCAGGTACTGAACACAGAGCATCAGTGTTGCACAGAAAGTTTGCCTCTGCAGGAGTAAATTTCGTCTGTGTGATGACACTGATATCTTTGACTAAGCAGCAATAGTTTGATTCAAATAGGAAAATGCAGCTTTTGTGGAGCTTGAAATGTACAATTTGGGAAACCTTTAAGAAAAACAATACAAGATATCGTATCTTTACAGGCAGCCAGGTCCTCCCAGGGCTATGCAAGGGATCAGAATGAGCAGAGGGCCTTCAGGGTTCATTAGAGTCCTAGCTCCTCCACCACCGCCTTCAGTCCATCCACATGAGAGGTGTGGTCTGCAGCCACCTCGTCTCCTGCAGGCTGTGTGGGGTTCTTGTACTGAGACCTGTAGAAACAGGTGTTTGTTAATTCTCTCTCTCTCTCTCTCTCTCTCTCTCTCTCTCTCTCTCTCTCTCTCTCTCTCCCTCTCTCTTCCTCCCTCTATCCCTCTTTTTGGTGGTACTAGGGTTTGAACTCAGGGCCTACATCTTGAACCACTCCACCAGCCCTTTTTTTGTGGGATTTTTTCCAGATAGGGTCTTGAGAACTATTTCCCGGTTGGCTTAAAACCTCAACCCTCCTTATCTCTGCCTCCTGAGTGGCCATGATTACAGGTGTGCGCCACTGGTGCCCAGTGGCTTTAATTCTCTTTTTTATGTTTGTTAATTCTCCTTCTACAGCAGTTGTAATGTCAGGGAAATAGAGCTTTCTGGCTTCCCAAAGCCCACTTTCTTCCTTTTAATTCTTGAATATGTTATTTTCAGCTAAATGATTATAATAATTATTATTATGGAAGAGAACATGTATACATCTAATTGAAAATAATGCTATTTTTGTGCTTAATGCACATGAATTTGTCTGTCTGTGGTACATATTGCATAGCAGTGTATGATTAAGTAATTTTTGACAGTTTATAATTTTAAAAGGAGTGCTTCTGTGTTTTAGCATTTCACAGTGTCCAGGGATATACAGGAAAAAGAATAATATTCTGTTCTTCTCATACCAACTGCTTATTTGTCGTGATGTCATCCCATGTATTTTGCTGTTTTCACAGTATAGGTAATGTATGAAATCCATATATATTTTCTCTCTCCTTTTTAAAAAATTTTAGGATTGATTTTTTTTTATCATTGTGCCGGGAATACATTGTGGAATTTACAAAGGTTCTTACAATATATCAAATAATCCCTCCATCATTCCCCTTTATCTCCTCTCCCCTCATTCCTGGAATAGTTTCAACAAGTCTCATTTTCCATTTACATACATGTGCACACAGTATTGGCACCATGTTCACCCCCCTTCACCCCTCCCACTGGTACAGACGGGACCTGTTGGGTTTTCTGTGTTTCTGGGGTTTGAACTCAGGGACTTGTACTTGTTAGGCAGGTGCTCTATCACTTGAGCCACTGCTTCAGCCCTCCTCCTTTTTCTTTTTGACTCTTCCTTCCCTCCTTCCTCCCTCCCTCCCTCCCTCCCTCTCCTCCTTCCTCCCTTGCTGGGACCACAGGCATGCATCACCAGCCCTGGCTTCTGTTTGTGCTTATATTATTTTTTTATTAAGCATTTCATCAAATCCATGTCCATGTTCTGTTGATGCAGGGATTTCCTCTAATTTCTCATTACTGATTCCTTATTAATAAGTGTCTGTAAACTTTGCAACTTTATGCCACCTCTGAACTCCTTAAATTCTACTTTTCCTTAGAATTTAGCTCTATAGTAATACTTAGGAAATGACTTTTTCAGTCTTTTCAAAGAAAATTTGGATATAATCCAAATTAATTGATGCATAGTTGTATTCTTTTGTGCAACTCAATAATTTGTTATTGGTGATTTTTTTTTTTCAGTACTGGTGTTTGAACTCAAGACCTCAAGCTTGCTAGGCAGGCGCTCTATCACTTGAGCCACTCTGCCAGCCCTTGTGGTTATTGATTTTTCTCTCTGATATGGAGGAGTTAAAAGAGCTAAGATCACCTGTTTGGGGAAGTTTAAATCTGGGAAGTTGCTGTAGTTGGCCACCTTTTTCAGCAGAAGATGTTTAAATTTTCTAGTGTCTGTCTTTTAAGGTTAGAGGTTTCTTTTGTTTTCATTATTCTACCTCTTGGGCAATTTATTTTGCTAGGAAGTTACCTGTTTCCTTTAGATTTCCAAATTCATATAAAAATATCTGCACAAATTATTCTCACTTTCATTTAATTTTAAATATTTACAGTTATATCTAATTTTGGTGTTTTTATTTCTTCTTTTTTTATGAGACTTGTGTTTTTTTTAGTTATTCTGTTGTAATAAAGTAGCTTTTATAAAATTTCTTTCTTGTGTGTTTTCTCCTTCAGTTCTTTTTTATGTCTATCTCTATGTATTATTTATACTTTTCTGAGTTGTTTTGTTATTTCCCAAACTGGGTAATAATAAAGTAATTAAGTTATACCTGCTGTCATCTTTATATTCATTGAACTACATACTTTGTAAGTTTTTGGTGAAATACTTTCATTTTCCTCAGTTTTTAGATTATTTATAATTTCTGTTTCTGTGTCCTCATTGATACAGAGGCTATTTAAAAGTAAATTTCTTACTTCCAAGTGTTTTGGGTTTCTCTTCATTTTGTTCTGTTTCTAGAAACCTCTTTGGATTGCTGCTGAAAGAGTATGGTCTATAAGATTTTTAAATTTGTATTTGATGAATACTTCCACTTTGGCCAAGACATAAAAGAATACTGTTTAAAATAACTTCATTTAGCACAAAAATATACATATTTTAAATTTGGACAAATTTAACCTATTACCACTATCACAGTCAAGACAGAAAATCTTTTGTAATCAAAGTTCTCACACCAGGCCCCAGGAACCTGCACTTACATTTGTATTTGTGTTAGGGCTTCTAGCTGCCACAAGAAAATAGCAGAGTCGATGGCTTAAAGCAGAGATTCACGCATCACAGTTCTGAGGCTGACTGCCCAGGACTGAGGCCCCGGCAGTTTCAGTGTCTGATGAGGGCCCTGTCCTGGTTCGTAGTGTGTTTAGATGTAACTTCACACGATGTGGGGGAGGGGGGCTCTTTAGCACTTCGTTTATAAGGGCACTATTCCCACGAGGGCTTCACCCTCATTCCCTAGCCATCTCCCAAACAGCCACCTCTAAATACCTTCACGTTGAACGCTGGGATTTCACATATGAACGTGAGTTCGGGAAGAGATTCATTCTGTCAGTTTCAGCTTACGTTATCTGGAGTTTCAAGTACATAGCAGCATAGTATCTGATCTCCCTCTCTTCTTTTCATTGTTCTTTCAGCTGTCATTAATCTTAGGAGGATTGTGTGGAGTCCCTAGCCACTTTGGGTAGCCATCTTCACAGTATCACGTCCACAAATACGGGAAGCTTTCCATTTACTTAGATTCTTAAATACCTTTCCCAGTGTTTTCTAGTTCTCAAACCTATGTTTTCTACTCCTTTTAAAAGATTTATTACTTCAGATTCTGTTCTTTTTGATACTACTTGAAGTGGACTTTTTTAAAGTTTCAGTTTAACATTGTTCATTGCAATTCCATAGGAACAACTGAATTTTATAATGTGTTGTTTTGTCATGCAACTTGGACGGACTCATTGATTCTAATTGTTTTTGTGGATCACGTTGGGTTTTCTATATACAAGATCATGTCAAACATGGACGGTTCTACAACTCTGCTTTTAGTAAGTTTGCCTTTTCTTTCTTTTGCTTTCATAATTGGCATGGCTAGAGCCTCCAGTGTAATGCTGAACTAGTGATGAACAGACCTCCTTTTCTTGTTCCTGGTTTTGGGGGAAGCATCTAGTATGTTTGCCTTTAAGTATGATGGATACTATTTGTGAACTTCCTGCAGATGGATTTTACATGTTGAGAAAGTTTCCTTCTTCTCCAGTTTGTTGAGTGTTTGTTTCTGTTATGCTGGATTTTGTGGAGTACATCAGGTCCATCTACTGACAGTGTCAGGTAGTTTGGTATTTATTAACATGGTGTGTCACATTCATTGATTTTCAGATGTTCAACGTGCCTTGCATTCTTGTGGTCAAAATCACATCATAGTGGTGTGTAACTGCCTTTATATATTGCTGTATTTG